GGCAATCTTATCAGCCCAGGCTCAGGACTGCTGAGTTAGTGGGTGAGATATGTCTCCCTCTCCTTCCCTGCCTTGGTTTAATATCTATCCTACCTAACAGTTTCTCTTTTGATTATGTTGCAGGACCTTAACTGGCTTTCCTATTTTCTGGGTACAGACATTTTCCTTGAAGTAGGACTTTACAATTCATTTTGGTTATAACAGCTTATTGAAATTTCTTCAGAGAATAAAGTGTACAAGAAGTTAGCAAAATTTTTGTTCAAGGGCCATATACAATCTTTTTTGTATTTTCATTTTTGTTTTTTTAAGTAACTCTTTAAAGTGGAAAAATAATTCTTAGTTTGTAGGCTTACACAAATAAGCTATAGTTTCTGACCCCTGATCTATACTACCTTTCTGAAAATATGTTTTGCAGTCTCTAACTCCAACTAGATGATCCTTGCAGAAAGGATTACATGGTCAAATAAATTTGGCGAGTGTTTTTTGTTATATCATTCTCCTGGAGGTTTGTAAGGCTCATTAGCATTTCTTTTTTTTTAATATATTTTATTGATTATGTTATTACAGTTGTCCCATTTCCCCTTTCACTCCCCTCCACCCTGTGCACCCTCTCCCACCCACATCCCCCCCTTTAGTCATGTCCATGTGTCATACTTATAAGTTCTTTAGCTTCTACATTTCCCATACTATTCTTACCCTCCCCCTGTCTATTTTCAACCTACAATCTATGCTACTTATTCTCTGTACTTTTCCCCCTCTCTCCTCCTCCCACTCCCCTGTTGCTAACCCTTCATGTGATCTCCATTTCTGTGGTTCTGTTCCTGTTCTAGTTGTTTGCTTAGTTTCTTTTGGTTTTGCTTTAGCTGTGGTTGTTAATAACTGTGAATTTGCTGTCCTACTATACATGTTTTTTCTTTATCTTCTTTTCTTAGATAAGTCCCTTTAGCATTTCATAAAATAAGGGGTGGTGATGATAAACCCCTTTAACTTGACCTTTTCTGAGAAGGACTTTATCTGCCCTTCCATTCTAAATGGGAGCTTTGCTGGATAGAGTAATCTGGGATATAGGTCCTTGTCTTCCATGACTTGGAATACTTCTTTCTAGCCCCTTCTTGCCTGTAAGGTCTCTTTTGAGAAATCAGCTGACAGTCTGATGGGAGCTCCTTTGTAGGTAACTGTCTCCTTGTCTCTTGCTGCTTCTAGGATTCTCTCCTTCATTTTTACCTTGGGTAATGTAATTATGATGTGCCTTGGTGTGTTTCTTCTTGGGTCCAACTTCTTTGGGACTCTCTGAGCTTCCTGGATTTCCTGGAAGTCTATTTCCTTTGCCAGATTGGGGAAGTTCTCCTTTATTATTTGTTCAAATAACTTTTCCACTTGTTGCTCTTCCTCTTCCTCTTCCTCTTCCCCTTCTGGTACCCCTGTAATTCGGATGTTGGAACATTTAAAGATGTCCTGGAGGTTCCTAAGCTTCTCTTCGTTTTTTTGAATTCTTATTTCTCCATTCTTTCCTGTTTGGTTGTTTTTTTCTTCCTTCTGGTCCACTGTATTGTTTTGAGTCCCAGTTTCCTTCCCATCACAATTGGTTCTCTATGCATTTTCCTTCATTTCTTTTATGGTAACCTGCATTTTTTCATCTAATTTGCACCCAAAACCAACCAATCTGTGAGCTTCCTGATCACCAGTGTTTTGAACTGTGCATCTGATAGATTGGCTATCTCTCAGTCGCTTAAAATGATGAGTCCTGGGGCACTGATCTGTTCTTCTGTTTGAGACATGTCTCTCTCTCTCTCTTTTTTTTTTTTTTTTTTGGTCTGGTCACTCCTGTTACAGTGAGGAGCGGAGCCTTAGGTGTTCACTGGGGCTGGGCACCCCAGTCGCTAGATTGTGACGTTGTATGTGGGGGTGGGGGCGGGAGGGAATAATGGCGGTAGCTCTGTTCTCCGTGGGACCCCAGTCCGCTCTCTGGGATCCTGGGTTGTGCGCTCTGTGCTGCTCCACAATCGCCGCCTCATTGGGTCTGCCAGCTGCCGCTTGCGTACTCAGGGTCCACTCTCTGCGATCTTGCGCACTCCAGATGCCTTATGCACTCCCGGTTGCCTTATGTGCCCAACTCTCTTTGCTCTCTTCGCTGAGACCCGCGCCGTTACCTGCACCTGGCTACTCCTCTTCGCCCCTCCTACTGGTCTGGATGAACAGGTTTACTTCAACTTCTTGGCTGTCCAACTTCCATTCAGATAAATTCTCTATCAGTTCTGGGTGTTATTCTGCCTCTAAATTGTTGTTGTTCTAATCTTGGTTGTGCGTGGAGGTCCGGTGCATCCACCTATGCCTCCATCTTGGCCGGAAGTCTGCTCATTAGCATTTCAAAGACTTTCAAAAGCCCTCTGTACACTGTATATAAGCGCTTTTCTTCTAGGAGCTTTGTGAATTTGGGGGTGGTGTACATTACCTACTTGTATTCCATAGAACTAGTCTTCCAGAAAGCCTACCTATAAGAAAACCTATCTCTTGATTATTTCTTGATAATAATTTATAATTAATCACAGACTTGTTCTTCCTCTAAATTAACTATTGGGTTGGCCAAAAATTTTGTTTGTATTTTTCCATAAGATTGCTCTAAAAGCACTTAGTTGTCTTTAACTTCATTTGAAACAATTTTTTTAGATTGTATTGTGACAGTTGTCATATCAGTGTGCATTTAAAAAAACATTGCCCTGGCTGGTGTGGCTCAGTGGATTGGGTGCTGGCTTACAAACCAAAAGGTTGCCAGTTTGATTCCCGGTTAGGGTACATGCCTGGGTTGCAGGGTGGGCCCCAGGCAACCGATCAATGTATCTCTCTTGTACATTGATGTTTCTCTCACTCTCTTTCTCCCTCCTCCTCTCTCTAAAAAAAAACAAATAAAATCTTTTAAAAAATCAAAATTGGTGATTTTTTTGTGTAGCCATTTTAATATTGAAGATGAAAGAAAATATACAACATTTTTGGCATATTATGGTTTATTATTTCAAGAAAGATAAAAGCACAACTGAAACACAGAGAAAAGATTTGTTTAGTGTATGGAAAAGGTGCTGTGACTGATCAAATGTGCAAAAAAAAAGTGCTTTGCAAAGTTTTGTGCTGGAGATTTCTCACTGGATGATGTATCACATTCAGGTTGAAGTTGATGGCAATCAAATTGAGACATTAATTCAGAACAATCAACATTATACCACATGGGAGGTAGCCAACATACTCAAAATATCCAAATCAATAAAGTTATTGGTGAAAATGAAAAAATGTCCTTTATTTTAAGAAAAAAGACATATATGGAGGGATCACAATACCCGACACTAAACTATATTACAAGGCTACTGTAATCAAAACAGCCTGGTACTGGCATAAAAACAGGCACATAGACCAATGGAACAGAACAGAGAGCCCAGAAATAAGCCCAAGTCTCTATGGTCAATTAATATTTGACAAAGGAGGCAGCAACATAAAATGGAATAAAAATAGCCTCTTCAACAAATGGTGTTGGGAGAACTGGACAGCCACGTGCAAAAAAATGAAACTTGAGCACCAACTTACACCATATACAAAAATAAATTCAAGGTGGATAAAAGACTTAAATATAAAACATGACACCATTAAAGTCCTAGAGGAGAACGTAGGTAAGAAAATCTCAGATATTTCACGAAGAGACTTTTTTAATGACGTGTCCCCTAGAGCAAGGGACATAAAGGAAAGAATAAACAAATGGGACCTCATCAAAATTAAAAGCTTCTGCACAGCTAAAGAAAACAGTATGAAAATTAAAAGAGAACCAACTGTATGGGAAAACATATTTGCCAATGACACCTCAGACAAGGGTCTAATCTCCAAAATATATAGAGAACTTACACGACTGTACTCTAAGAAGACAAGGAATCCAATTAAAAAATGGGCAAAGGACTTGAATAGACACTTCTCCAAGGAGGACATACAGAGGATCCAAAGACACATGAAACGATGTTCAATATCGCTAGCTATCAGAGAGATGCAAATTAAAACCACAATGAGATACCACTTCACACCAGACAGAATGGCCATCATAAACAAAGCAACAAACAACAAGTGTTGGAGAGGTTGTGGAGAAAAGGGGACCCTAGTGCACTGTTGGTGGGACTGCAGACTGGTACAACCACTATGGAAAGCAATATGGAACTTCCTCAGAAAACTAAAAATGGATCTGCCTTGTGACCCTGCAATTCCACTACTGGGACTCTATCCTAAGAATACTAAAAACACCAATTCAAAAGAACCTATGCATCCCAATGTTCATAGCAGCACAATTTACAATAGCTAGATGCTGGAAGCAACCTAGATGCCCATCAGTAAATGAATGGATCAAAAAACTATGGTACATTTACACGATGGAATTCTATGCAGCAGAAAGAAAGAAGGAGCTCCTACCCTATGCAACAGCGTGGATGGAGCTGGAAAACATTATGCTAAGCGAAACAAGCCAGGCAGTGAAAGACAAATACCATATGATCTCACCTGTAACAGGAACCTAAATAACAAAACAAAGAAACAAGCAAAATGTAACCAAAAACACTGAAATAGAGGACAGGCTGATGGTGACCGGAGGGGAGAGAAGAGGGAATTTAAGGGGACAGTGGGAAGGGTTCACAGGAACAAACTTAAAGGACACATGGTCATAGACTAAGGGGAGGGTGGTAATGGGAGGGAAGGGGGGCGGGTGGGAGGGGGAACTGGATTGGGAGTAAAAAGGAGAAAACTGTATATGAACAATAATTAATAAAAAAAAAAAAGACATATAGACTTTTCAGCCAACCCAATACTTTGTCTACATCAACTTGAAAGCTCATTTACAAATGTTCTATATACTAATGTGACTGGATTGGGAGTTTGAAATTTAAACATTTAAAAAGAACCATAGAATCTGATTTCTCAGCAGTTTTCTCTATTATCATTTTATGACACTGCTAACTTATTTTTTTTCTCTTCACCAGGAAAAATGGGTGGAAGTTGCCTCAATGAAAGTGCCTAGAGCAGGCATGTGTGTTGTGGCAGTCAATGGGCTTCTGTATGTTTCTGGAGGTCGATCTTCCAGCCATGATTTCTTGGCCCCAGGTACTTTGGACTCAGTTGAAGTTTATAACCCTCATTCAGATACCTGGACAGAAATTGGTAACATGATCACCAGTCGTTGTGAAGGAGGTGTTGCTGTACTATGAAATATGAACTGTGAGAATACAAGAAACATTTTGAAAGTATAGGGCCTGATGTTTTGCAAATCACACACACATTTGGTCATAGGACTTTTGATTCGGTTGAGTTTTTCATTTATTTGACAGATAAATGACTAACGGATTATTTTTCTAAGAATTTCAGTGAGAAGGGATATGGAATATATCCTAAATTCATAAAGAGGTCACAAAAATTTTCCAAGTTTACTAACAGAAATACTATTTATGCTCTAGAATTGTCTAGTTAGGAATAGAGTCCTATTTGTAAAAATGATTTGCTAGAAACTTCTTGGCAAATAGCCCCTTTAGTGGCTTCTCCAGTGCAGTTTAAACTGTAACACGACCTTTCTGTGATGTAATAACAATGAAAACAATTTAAAGATATGTATACATTGATGGTTCAATGCAGAGCACAATTTCTCATAGTTTAACTTACAGCAAAAAGCCAGTGAAACTATTTCCAACTTTTATGTGATGCTAGGAGTTTCACTAGCCCAAAACTTTTTTCTTTTTTAAATATAATTTATTGATTATGCTATTACAGTTGTCCCATTCCACCCCCCCTGCTTTATTCCCCTTTGCCCTGTACTCCCCTCCCATCCTCATTTCCTCCCCTTAGTTCATGTCTGTGGGTCGTGTATATAAGTTCTTTGGCTTCTCCATTTCCCATACTATTCTTAACCTCCCCCTGTCTATTTTGTACCTACCATTTATGCTTCTTATTCCCTGTACCTTTTCTCCCCATCCTCTCCTCTCCCCCTCCCCTCTGATAACCCTCCATGTGATCTCCATTTCTCTGGTTCAGTTCCTGTTCTAGGTGTTTGCTTAGTTTGTTTGTTTGTTTAGGTTCAGTTGTTGATAGTTGTATGTTGTCATTTTACTGTTCATATTTTTTATCTTGTTCTTTTTCTTAGATAAGTCCCTTTAACATTTCATATAATAAGGGCTTGGTGATGATGAACTCCTTTAACTTGACCTTATCTGGGAAGCACTTTATCTGCCCTTCCATTTTAAATGACAGCTTTGCTGAAGAGTAATCTTGAGTGTAGGTCCTTACCCTTCATGACTTCGAATGCTTTTTTCCAGCCTCTTCTTGCCTGCAAGTTTTCTTTTGAGAGTAGCCCCAAATTTTTTATTGGCAACAGGTATATTGGGAAAGTCCTGTGGGAAATACCTAGCTATGTATATAGCTATTTATTTATTTATATGTAAGTTTTGACCTATGATAACAGCATAAAAAAAGCTTTTGCTCACTTATGGTTTTTGTCTTGACATTGAGGACGCAATTCGGTAATTAAGAATAGGTTCTTAGTGATAGTCTTTATGCAACAGGGTGATAGAGCACAGTAGATGGTATGCACCTAGTAAATTTCTTCCCTGTTTTCTAAGTAATCACCAAAAATATTTGTTTGGCTTTGGGAAGATGGAATTTTATTAGATCATCAAGCTTTGTGAAGCTTATTTGTACTTAGACAAGCCTAAGTAGGAGCTTACTACAAAGCTACTGCCTGGCTTGGAGAAGATGGAACTGTAGATGCCTGTGAAAATTCTTACAGACACTGGCTCATAAGTATAAGATGAAAGGCTTCTGATCCAAAACTACTTCTCAAAACTTCTCATTTCCCCCCATGAGAAGCATTTTAAAGAATTGTTCTCTATCTTTTTAAATAATTATTCTCTAGTTCTGATAAGAAAATTCACGTACATGATCATCACTTTTATGTCTACTAGTAGGTCCATTGGAGGCATTTGTGTTAAAGATATTGCATACATTTAGGTTTACCTAGCTGATTCCAGGATTTGATTAGTATATTCCTGATTCCCCCTTTCTTTACTAAAGTCTCTGGGAATATTGTTATAAGCATCAATAGCTTATTTAGATAGAAAACTCTTGGTAAGCATTAAAGACTCAGCTTTCATGTCAAACATATTTGGATTGGCCCACAAGGATATTTTTCTTCATAACTTAACCATATGCTTGTATTAAGTTTATGTAATGCAAACAGAAAGCTCTGAAAGTCTGAAGGGTCAAGATACTTCGTTGGTATCCATAAAATGTCAAGGAATGAAGTGTCAAGATAATTTGTAGACTACTTAAGCCTACATGCCTTTAATATTTCTGGTTATAGAGAATCTGCATTCCGATTCAAAAGAGATTTACCAAATGTTCCTATAATTTAATTCTCATCATTACCTGGCAACCTGAAATGGCATCATGAAGGGAGGCATTATGTACTGCTCTGGCAGAAATGTAATGTCTAGACAGTCTTTGGGCTGTCCAGATGATCTCTGAAGATAGGTAATTGTAAATATGCTATTTCCTAAGTAATAACAAATTGCTTTAAAAAGAATGTACCAATAAAGTATTTTGATTTTTGCTTTTCCATCTGAGATTTTGCTTTTCTTTCGGAAGAACATCTTCTGAAGACTGTGTTTTCTTTCCTTTATTATCAGGCTGTAGTAAACTTTTCTGTATGTTAATAAAGAAGGATCATGTGTTGGTATTAGCCACAGTCTTTAACTAGTAAACTTCTTAATGATCTGAACAAGTTCTAGCTCAATGGTATTATATATATAAAATTATTATTTTGCTTAGGGTTGCTGGAATAAAGTACTATAGAAATATAAACAACAAAATTTATTGTCTTAGTTGCAGAGGCTGGAAGTCTGAACTCAAGGTGTTGGTAGAGTTGGTTCCTTCTGTGGGCTAAGAGAGAGGGATCTATTCAGGCTTCTCTCCTTCACATAGCCACCTTCATGTGTACATGGCATTCTCCCTATATGCATGTTTATCTCTAAATTTTCCCTTGTAATAAGAATACCAGTAATATTACATTATAGCCTACCCTTATGACCTCATTTTAACCATACTACCTCTGTGAAGACCTATCTCTAAATAAGGTCACATTCTTATATATTGGAGATTAGGACTTCATCACATACTTCAACCCATAACAGGTATGTAAAAAAGTAAACAGGTTACCAGTCTAGACTCGCATCTTTGCACAGCAAGAATCAATACAGTAGGACTTCCGGCAAGATGGAGGAATAGGTGGACGCACCGTACCTCCTCGCACAACCAAGATTAGAACAACAATAAAATACAGTCAGGATAACACCCAGAACTGACAGGGGATTCATCTGAATGGAAGCCGGACAGCCAAGAAGTTGAAGTAGACCTGTACATCCAGACTGGTAGGAGACAACGAGCCGAGCGGGCGCGGGGCTGGCGCGGGTCGGCAGCGCACGGAGGTCGGGGGAAATTTGGCGCGGAATCGGCGCGACAGCCATCGGGGCGCAGGAACGCAGCGGTGGACCCTGAGTACGCAAGCTGCGGCTGCCGGACCCAGTGGGGCAGCGATTGTGGACCAGGGCAGAGCTCGCAGCCCAGGAGCCCGGGGAAAGGTCTGGGCCCAGGAGAATTGAACTGCCGCCATTGATTCCCTCCCGCCCCCGCCCCCCCACCCCCCCACATATAACGTCACAATCTAGCGACGGGGGCGCCCCGCCCCGGTGAACACCTAAGGCTCCGCCCCCCACCTTAACAAGAGCGACCAGACCGAAAAAAAAAAAAAAAAAAGGGAGAGACAGGGAAAGACATAAGACGTGTGCAACAGAGCAGATCAGTCCCCCAGGACTCATCCTTTTGAGCGACCAAGAAATAGCCAATCTATCAGATGCACAGTTCAAAATGCTGGTGATTAGAAAGCTCACGGAATTGGTTGATTTTGGGCGCAATTTAGATGAAAGGATGCAGGTTACCATAAAAGAGATGCAGGAAGATACGCGGAGGAGAGCCAATAGAGAAAGGAAGGAATCTGAGTCTCAAAACAATACAGTGGACCAGAAGGAAGATAGAATCAACCAAGCAGGAAAGCATGATGAAATAAGAATTAAAAAAAATCGAGGAGAGCCTTGGGAACATCCAGGACACCTTTAAACGTTCCAACATTCGAATTATAGGGGTACCAGAAGGGGAGGAGCAACAAGTGGAAAAGTTATTTGAACAAATAATAAAGGAGAACTTCCCCAATCTGGCAAAGGAAACAGTCTTCCAAGAAATCCAAGAAGCTCAGAGAGCCCCAAAGAAGTTGGACCCAAGAAGAAACACACCAAGGCACATCATAATTACATTAGCCAAGGTAAAAACGAAGGAGAGAATCCTAGAAGCAGCAAGAGATAAGGGGACAGTCACCTACAAAGGAGTTCCCATCAGACTGTCAGCTGATTTCTCCAAAGAGACCTTACAGGCAAGAAGGGGCTGGAAAGAAATATTCCAAGTCATGAAAGACAAGGACCTACATCCCAGATTGCTCTATCCAGCAAAACTGTCATTTAGAATGGAAGGGAAGATAAAGTGCTTTTCAGATAAGGTCAAATTAAAGGAGTTCATCATCACTAAGCCCTTATTTTATGAAATGCTAAAGGGACTTATCTAAGAAAAGAAGATAAAGAAAAAGACATGTATAGTAAAAGGACAGCAAACTCACAATTATTAACAATTACACCTAAAGCAAAACCAAAAGAAACTAAGTAAACAACTAGAACAGGAACAGAACCACAGAAATGGAGGGCACATGGAGGGCTAGCAACAGGGGGGGGTGGGAGGAGGGGAGGGGGGAAAGGTATAGAGAATAAGTAGCATAGAATGTAGGTTGAAAATAGATAGGGGGAGGGCAAGAATAGTACGGGAAAGGTAGAAGCTAAAGGACTCATAAGAATTGCACATGGAAGTGAACTAAAGCGGGGGGAACGTGGGTGGGAGAGGGGGTACAGGGTGGAGGGGAGGGAAGGGGGGAAAAGGGACAAATGTAATAGCATAATCAATAAAATCAATTCTTATCAGGAAAAAAAAGGAAAAAAGATTGCTAAAAAAAAGAATCAATACAGTAGAAATCATATGTACATAATCTACTTATGAAATTTAATATTTGAATACTTAAGCAAAGATAACATCAAGGTGATATTATTTCCTTATTTATATTCTTACACTATTCTTTTTCATACACTAGTTAAAATGTTTTTCCTTTTTTATTTTACTAAGAATCTCAAGAGACAAGATTTTCAAGTTAGAATTCTAAGGTAATGCTTTAGCTGTTTTGAAAAAGCTTTCTGTGAGTTAACATGTAAAACCATGCTCAACATCACTAGCCTTTAGAGAAATGCAAATTAAAACCACGATGAAATATCACCTCACACCTGTCAGAATGGCTGTCATTAACAAATCAACAACCAACCAGTGCTGGTGAGGATGTGGAGGAAAAGGAACCCTAGTGCACTGTTGGTGGGAATGCAGACTGGTGCAGCCACTGTGGAAAACAGTATGGAATTTCCTCAAAAAATTAAAAATGGAACTGCCTTATGACCCAGCAATTCCACTACTGGGAATATACCCTAAGAATCCTGAAACACCAATTCAGAAGAACTTATGCACCCCTATATTCATAGCAGCACTATTTATAATAGCTAGGTGTTAGAAACAGCCCAAGTGCCCATCAGTAGATGAGTGGATTAAAAAACTGTGGTACATTTACACAATGGAATACTATGCAGCAGAAAGAATTCCTACCTTTTGCAACAGCACAGATGGAACTGGAGACTATTATGCTAAGTGAAATAAACCAGTCAGCAAAAGACAAATACCATATGACCTCACTTATAACTAGAATCAAATGAAAAAATAGAACCAGAGACATAGAAACATGGAACAGATTGACAGCTATAGGAAGGGAGGAGAGAGGAAGGCAGTAGTAGAAGGAATGGAAAGAGATTAATCAAAGAACATGAATGAATGACTCATGAACATGACAATGGAGAGGGGATTGACTGTGAGAGAGAGGGGTAGGCTGGATAAGGGAAAAAAATAAGGATGACTGTAATAGAATAAACAATTAAAAAAAAAAACCATGTAAAGACAGTTAGCCCCTTTCATTGGAATATCAAGATGGCTTCAGTTTGACTTTTCCTAACTTTTTGCATTAGTGGCTTTATTCTTTAAATAATTTTGACCCACTGGTGTTTTTCTGTTGGTAAGTTGCATCTATACTCTGTCAAATATCCTGATAAAAACTGGAAAATGTATCCATCTTTTTTCTTTAAAAAATTTATTTATTTTTAGAGATCCTGTCTCTAAAAAGATCCCTTCCTAGGGAGGGAGAAAGAGAGAGAAACATCAATGTGTGGTTGCTTCTCCTGTGGCCCCCACTGGGGACCTGGCCCACAACCCAGGCATGTGCCCTGACTGGGAATCGAATCTGCAATGCTTTGGTTTGCAGCCCGCACTCAACCCACTAAGCTATACCAGCTGGGGCTGCATCTATCTTTTTAAACATGACTTGCCCTTGTGACACTACTCCCAAATGACTTGAGAGCCAAAGATCCTTTCAGCTAATATAAGTTATACCAGGTAAAATGAACTTGCAAATGTAGTTACCAGGGGCAACTGAAATGAAAACTCCACCCTGGAACCACATATTATTTTCAGACATTCATGGATTGAAGTTATTCTCTTGAAACAGGAGACTATATTTTTTCAGTGATCATAGGCTCTAGCAAAAGGGATTTTTTTTTCATTTTTTTATTTTACATTTTCAAAATAATTAAAACATTGAAATGTATGAGTGGACAACTATATAATTCATAAGACTGCATGAGAACTGTAACCTAATATGACATGGAAAGGACTTGTTAAGGATTTTCATGCTGTTGATCATATAGGTCCTTTGAAATAAAGATTTCTAGAAATTAAAAAAATGTGAATAAATTATCACTGGTGGGAAATAGTTACACAGTAGTAGAAGAAAAAGGAGATGCAAAACAACTTACAAGGCTTATAACCAACATGCTAACATCATCTACAGGGTAGTTTTATACTTATTCTACTTGACCAAGTCTCTTGGGTCCTTTCTCTGTATAAGTATCTTTAAGTAGTAAAGTGATTACAAATGATAAAAAGGCGACTAAAGTGATTACTATCCTCAGGGCTTTGAACCAGTTAGGATAATGTGGCAAGAGAAAAAGTTCATTGTGTAATGCTATCCCCAAACCTATTATTACTGTGACTATAGCTTCACTGAGCCTTTCAGAAATAAGGAAGGCTAACCACGAAAACACAACAGGAGCTGTACTACCAGCTATATTGAGGAAGTCTAGTTTGGCTGGACTACCTTCTGGCAGAGCAAAACCCCATCTGATCCCTCCCAAGAAAGATAGGAAACTCGCTCCGTAAGCCATCTGAGTAAAAGCTAACATGGGGATGTAAGTCTTTGTCATCAGCATGATCAGTGGTGGTGCAAAGAAGGGGATTAGTCCCGCCAGAGATACATATAATGCTGGCTTTGGGCTGTCAGGCAGATACATGATAGTTTTTGGTGGCCTGGCTGGAAGGACTGGCTGCTTCTTCTTAAAGCTGCATGGAGAAGTATGATAGTATTGTGTCTTGTTCATATGCACTAGAAAGGATGAGAAGGGCAAAGGCCTTAGAAACAAAGGTGAAAAGTTCTGCTGCAGACATGTCTTGAGAGAAAGTATTTCTTTTCTCCTGCTGGCTCCTACTCCGACCATGAAAGGGTACTTCAGCATCTACAGAGAAGATAGAACCAGAAGACAAAAACAGATATTTTTTTAAAAATCACTAATGTCTTAGTTAATTCTAACATAAAACAATATAAAAACAAATTATTGCCCTGGCTGGTGTAACTCAGTGGATTGAGCATGGACTGCGAACCAGAGGGTCGCCAGCTCAATTCCCAGTCAGGGCACATGCCTGGGTTGTGGGCCAGATCTCCAATATGGGGCGTGCAAGAGGCAACCACACATTGATAGTTCTCTCCTCCTCTTTCTCCTTCTCTTCCCCTCTCTCTAAAAATAAATAAATAAAATCTTTTTTAAAAAGGTTTAAAAATTAATTAATTGAAAACAAATTATCTACAGTGGATTGAGCGCGGGCTGCGAACCAAAGTGTCGCAGGTTCGATTCCCAGTCAGGGTACATGTCTGGATTGCGGGCCATGACCCCCAGCAACCGCACATTGATGTCTCTGTCTCTGTCTCTGTCTCTGTCTCTGTCTCTCTCTCTCTCTATATATATATATATCTCCCTCCCTTCCCTCTCTAAAAACAAATAAATAAATAAATGTCTTTAAAAAAGGAAGAAAATAATTATTAAAAAAAAGAAAACAAATTATCTACTTTCTGTTAGCACACTGAACTTTACAGGAAGGTTGGACTACATCGTGATGTTATTGCTGGCTAAGACTATTAAGAGCTATACAAAATGCAAAAGAAACTACTGAATAGAAACTAATGTTTTGGCTTACCGTTAATCTTATCCCATGAGAAAAATATCTCAAAGAACAGGTAAAGACTAGATGTTCATTTTTGATATTCTAAACTGCCTCTCCTATTTATAAATTGCAAAAGCAGTTGCACTGATCACTGGGAATTCTTTTTTAAAAATACTTTTTAGCCCTGGCTGGCGTAGCTCAGTGGATTGAGCGCGGGCTGCGAACCAAAGTGTCGCAGGTTCGATTCTCAGCCAGGGTACGTGCCTGGGTTGCAGGCTATAACCCCCAGCAACCGCACATTGATGTTTCTCTCTCTCTCTCTCTAACTCCCTCCCTTCCTTCACTAAAAATAAATAAAATCTTTTAAAAAATCTTTTAAAAATATTTTTTATTTATTTTTAGAAAGAGGGAAAAAGAAAGAGAAACATCTGATGTGTGAGAGATACATCAATTGGTTGCCTCTCACACACCAAACGGGGGCCTGGCCCACAACCCAGGCATGTACTCTGACTGGGAATCGAACCAGTGACCTCTCAGTTCATTGGCTGGTGCTCAATCCATGGAACCACACCAGCCAGGGCAGGTATTCTATTTATGTAGAGAAAAGCAATCTACCTTCCAATTTAGCTTTATGAACACTTGACACTTTTCATAGCTTCATGTTTTTTTACATGTCTCTGCCTAGAATACTGGCATACTACTTTACTATCTGGGAACTTGTCTTTCCAAATTCAGCTTAAAACTTTGTCCCACCTGGTTTAATCCTCCTACAAGTGCCCTATGTGCACTTCCATTATAATTCTCACAGTGAATTAAAATTGTGTGTACTTGTTTGAGTAGACTTGAGAGCCAAGGGCATATTTTTTCTTTGCTTTTAAAAAAGAGTCCCTAGTGCCTTTCATGTTATATGGCCAAATAACCTTCCCTGCTGATTCTGTGCTTTAGTGAGCAGATTCCAAACTTCAACCAACAGATCAACAGTAACTCAAGAAGTGTTAGATGGAAGGAAAAATGAAACAGTTATTTAAGAATGTTGGTAATTTCTCAAAATGCTAGGAATAATCCCATCTTGGGGCCTCCTTTTTCCTTTTATCTAGATTGTTCTTCCCTGAGCTACTTGCATGGCTCATTCCCTAACTTCTGACCACCCTGTTTATAAAAAGTGTAATCGCAAGTCTGTTGTAGACAATGAGTTTCCTTCCTCTCTGCTTTATAGTTCTCCACAGCACTTACCACTTGACATATTAAATATTTTACTTTTTTGTGTTTTACCCCCATCCCCACCCCTAAATATATGAGGATAGGATTTTTTTGTCCTCTTTTTCACTGCTATTTGCCAGCCAAACCATGCCTGGCAAGTAATGCTCAAATATTTGCTAAATAAACCAACCTTTGAAGATGCTTGAGAAAACTTCTGGATGAAGTGAAGCATACTGGGCCCAAAATGAAGTCTTGCTCAGGAGGATGCCAGGTAGTTCTGATTAATGTGTTTTTACAGCTAAGTGGGCGAGCTGAATCAGAAGCATGTTGCTGTGTACAAAATAAGATGTCACTTAATTTTCTTCAAAAAGTAATGAGAATTTCTTCCATATAAGTTTCCTTTGAGAACAATCATTAACTAATGTTTTCAAAAACTCAGTAACATGTTAACAGATCCTTTCCTTCTCTGAAAAGAGTAATGCACAGCCCTGGCTGGTGTGGCTCAGTGGGTTGAGCTCAGGCCTGCAAACTGAGAAATTGCCAGTTTGATTCCTAGTCAGGGCACATGCCTGGGTTGCAGACCAGGTCCTCTGTTGGGGGTGTGTACCTCCATCATTTCCCAGCTGTGTGGCCCTGGATAAATTGCTTCCTTGAAGTGACAATTTTCTCATCTTTAAACAGAAGGTCATAGCATATCTGTTCTCCCCTCCCCACTTAATTATCTATTTTAGGACTTTACAGCTCAAAATGATGACATAGTAATACAATTCAGCTGTCAACCACACAGTGCAGCTTATGTTTTACATGCATTAACTCATTTAATACAAGAACCGCATCAGGTTGGTGCTGAGAGACTGTATAACCTGTTAAGCTAGAGCACAGAATTTGGAATCAATCTGGCTCAGCCACTTATTAGCTATATGACTTTGGACAAGTTATATAATCTTGCTATGGTGCAGTTCACTTACCTTTAAAAATAAGGATTATATAACTACACAGGGTCGTTGTAAAAACTAAATCAGTTAATACACATAAAGAGCTGAGAACTGTCCCTGACACAGAGAAAGCACTAAAAAAATATCAGCTATTATTTCCTCCTTACACAAGAGGGAATAGTTAAGAAACCTATCTAATATAAGCAACCAGTACATGACTGAAAATGTGAATCCCATTCTTAACCTGGAGAATGAGGTGTCAAAAAAATCCAAAAGCCAGAGTTGCCACTTCACTAACAATTTTAATGGGCTAAGTTCTTGATCACAGATCTGAGAACTCCTGTATACTGGTCAATGTCTTCATTCTATACATAGGAAGCAAATAAGAAGTTAAGTTATGCTGGGCCTCTGAGTGAATCTTAAAATCTACCACACAGCCCTGGTTGGCATAGCTCAGTGGATTGAGCGTGGGCTGTGAACCAAAGCATCCCCAGTCAGCTTACATGCCTGGGTTGCAGGCCACGGTCCCCAGCAATCACACATTGATGTTTCTCTCTCTCTTTCTTCCTCCCTTCCCTCTCTAAAAATAAATAAATGAAATCTTTAAAAAAAAATCTACCACATATACCTCCTGACCCCCAGACACACATTTATTTGCAGGGCCCACGCACACCCTTGCTCAAAATCACCAGTGTATGGGCCTTATGGACCACTCCACTCAAAATCTCAGCGCTCCCTCCGCCTTCAGAACTCCTTGCGCACTGTGATATATGCTTCCCAACTCAGGTCTTAAAGCGAATAAATGATAGCCTAAAACCTGGGGACGGCCAGCTGGTGAGGGAATTAAGGACAGATCCAAGGGCTAATCCGCTCAATTCAGGAGAAAACGCTCAGTGTGTACACTGCTCCAAAAGAAAAAGTTGCAAACTGCAAGCCTCAGCGGCTACATCTGAGAAAGGATGTGGGGTCTGGACACAATGATCCACGGTAAACTTTCCCCAACAATGCCCGCAGCTCTGGCTTACTGCCAACTCTTAGTGCCCCCCTTCTCAACCTGCACCTCTCACAGCTGCCCCACTACTCACTTGCGGGGGTTGCGCGGGAAGACGGAAAGCTGAGGTACCAGAACAACAGGTACTCCCGAAAAGGAACTTCCGGCAAGTAGGATTAGATAGTCCCCAACTTCCTGACAGCCGAAAAAAAATGATTCCGGGTGGGGACTGGATCAGCGCAAAGTGGTTCCCATGTTGGGCTTTCCTTTCCGTCTTGGGTCCATTCTCTTAATTCTAGTGAAACCCGACTTTTGAAGTCTGTAAAGTAGCTGGACGATCTTCGCCTCTCTCTATTCTAGGTTTCCCAGCCAGTTCGGGTAGGTAAAGAGCAACTCCTGAAACAATCTCAGAGTGATGGTAGAAGAAGGTAGGAAAGGTTTAGAGTCTAGGCTAAGTTTGACTTGGCCAATTTGTCACCTCTGAAACTTACCTTTTAGTTTGCATAACAACAGGGTTTCTAGGATCGACGGGACACATCTGCGTATTAGGGTTTTAAATTACTAATACTACTTAAGAAAATAAATTTTAAAAGCTGTCTATTTCCTCTTGGTAGGACCTGGAAACTTGATTAAGAAATAACGAACACAAGAGGCAAGATTTTCACCTCCATGAAAGGTGTGGTGGTAAGAACTTTAGGGGTGATTCAGAAAGATCATTCGTCCCCTTCACTTTAATTTTTATCGGTTATGTGACCCTGGGCAAGTCTGCTCACTTCTCGGGGCCTCCATTTTACAGTCTATCAAAGGGGATCAGCACCAAGCAATTTGAGCGGCCTTCTTAAGAGGACAGCTCAAGGGGCCCACGGGGCCAGTTCCTCCATGCCTCCGCCATCTGGATAGTTTAACTTTCTGGTCACAGGACATCATGTGGTTTAGCTTCCAGTGCAGGAGGGGCTCACAGCAAATTCTGCATAACAGTAATCTCTTGCAGTCGGCATAGGCTTTCACTTTTTATTTCCTTCTTTGTCTGTCATAGCAGCACCGCCCCTTCCCGTCGTGCTATACCCAATGAGACTTTGGGTCGGAGAACGTCTTCTCCGCCAGGAAGTGAAGCCAGAAATCCGCACTGTGCTGAGTCTGGGGCGTGACGCCAGCCGTCTAGCAGAACTACTACTCCCAGCGGGTAGTGCGTTGGGCTCAACCGCGCAGGCCTGTAGAGCTCGGTGGTGTGGTCCGCTGGGGGCTGGAGTCTTAGCGACACGCGCACGTGAAGGAGCAGAAGGTGGGAAAGGGTCGGTAATCGCTTGGTCCTACGAAACCGGTTTGCTAGTACTTGTAGAGGTAATTTGGAGATGGGTACTTGCTCAGAGGTGAGATGTGGGAGGGTAAAGAACGAAGGGGCGGGGAAAACCGGGTACACATACACACCACCCAATCACTGACAGGCTTCCAGGCCCTAGTGTTGGGCTGGGGCATGAGGAGAGTACTAAACTCGGATGGCCGCCGCCTCTAGCCGAGGGGAAAGGGAGCTGGGGGGCGGGGCGAGGAATAACTGCCGTTCTCGCGCCCGAACGTTGGCGGCGCAAGGCGAGGGCAGGGTCAGCAGAACAGGGCGCGTGCGCTTGCGTCCCCAGTGGGCGGTGGGAGTGGGTGGGTGTGTGTGAGGCGGGGTCGAATGGGGGCGGGTTGGTCTGGTCATCGCTCCTCCCCCACCACCCGCTCTTCCCCTCTTGGGTCTTGTGGGCCGGGCAGCCATTTTGGGAAGAGCTTTGTTATGGTTGTGGGCTCTACACCTCTGCGGGATCTGGAAGCTGAGGACGCATCTTCAGACTCCGCATTTGGTCCTTAGCCGTAGCCCGGCTGCTGCCTGGTGAGTAGGAGTTCCAGACCATGGGGTAATAGGAGATCTAGGGTTTTGCGGGTGCGGGACTCCGCCCGGTGCCTAGCCGGCCGGCTGTTAAAACAAGTTAAAGGAGGTTCTCAGCACAGGTGGTTGGGTGTAGGTAGGTCCCGGGAAGGAGAGTGGAGCCCACGGGTCTCGTGGTTCGCACCACGCACCTCCCCCAGCGCGCAGCGCTTTCAGCGCGAGCGTCGCCGTGTCCTCCGCCAGAGTGCTCCTACTTTAACTTTGGTCTGCGGGTCGGGACTCTCACCTGCGGCTCTCTGGCTCCTCTCCAGGCGAAATTCGCCTTGGCGGTTGAGTGACTTGGTTTACGTGGGGGGTCTTTTTTTCTCCTTTTCTTCTTAAGTTAGAGCCAACGGCTTTTTTCCAATGAAGGAAAATCTAAGGAAATATTTGTGTAAGTCAAACGTGGGTTATGTGAAGGGGGAAAATCTTTTAAGCCCCCAGCGTTCTGGTTTTCCTTGGTAGCGAGGCATTTTTCGTTGATTTAGATCGTCTATCCACCACCTACCTCCCCCACCCCCGAAAAAAGGCTGGTAGAATTTGAAGTATAACGAAAAATTTATTTCTGTTGTAAATCCACCTCTCACTCCTCACCCGCCCCCCCGCCGTGAAATTCAAAAGAAAGGCTGAATCTAAAATGGCTGTAGCTTGGGGAAGTGCCCAGAGCTTCGGTAACTTAAATACGTTAAGCCGTCTGAAATTTTTAGTTGTTCCGCTTACGGGGACAACAACTGAATCTTTTGATCTTTTGGTCTTCTTGCAACTGATGTCTTATCTTGAAGAGTCCTTGGTAGGTGAAAAGCAAGGTGAGGCCAAACAACTTTGCTTACTCCATAAGTTTACATAAGAGTGGGTGCGGGGTTTGTTTGTTGTAGTTGCTTATAGTTTTGAAATTATCCTGTAGTGTTAATCAGCCAGTTTTGTGCTCCGAGGTTGGTTTGTCATATTTGTTGAAATACTTGCTCTTAACGTAGGTGTTTATTGCTTGGGAAAAACGGAGTTCATGGGTGATTTATGTTATAGTTTAGTAACAGAACCCCATCCAAAAGTAAAGTGACTGGTAGTCTTCAGTAGACTTAGATTTGTAATTTGGTGGACTGCTGGCTCTTTCTAAAGTCTTTTATGTGTAATACTTGAAAGGGAATCCGTGCTGTTAAGGTTGGGACATTTATTAGAAACGTGTAGACAACTGAAAACAAACTTCAGCTGTGGAGAGCCTGATTTTTTTGCCCTTTTAAACAAGACTGTCTTTTTGTTTGCTTTTTTTTTTTTTAACCATAAAATCCAGAAGTCTAACTAAAAACAAAAAGGCATCGAATGGAAACAAGAAACAGTTAACTTCAGTGTTTGGGAAGGTGCTTAAGTTTCAAGTTGCAATCTGTCTAAAAGATAATAAAATGTGAATGAGAACTTTGCAATTAATAGTAAAATAAACTGTCATCTTCCCTAGGGAATGAGTTTGGGTTTACCTTCCTACATTCTTTCTACACAAAAGTTTGTTTTTGTCAGTTCTTTTAGGACTTTTTTGTTGTTCTTATTTTGGTGGTTTTAACAAGAAAAAAACATTTAAAGTGCTTTATAGAAATTACAAGTCTGTTTTTTTTGCCATCGTTATGTACTGGACATTAATTTAGATGAGACTTTACTGTAGGTTTTTTTGTTGTTTGTTTTCAGGGTACTCAGTGGTTTTATATGTTTATACAAATATTCTTTCAGTTGATTCTGGGTAGTATCTTAGAGCTCTTGAAATTTTGGGGGGAAGTGCTGTGAAGCCTTTTATATTTTGGATGAATTGAAATACGTAGTTCTCTCCATCAGTGGCTATTTAAAAGCTTGGCTGAGGAGGTCACATGCCACCATTTTAATAAGTTTGGAATAGTATCTGGGGTACATTTGTGCTTATAATTCATTTTTAAATGGTCAGGTAAAGATAAAACAATTCTGAATCAGACTTCAGGTTGCATATCTTTTATGATTGAATTGTATACACTTAATAATAGTGGTAACTCTAATGTGCCAGGGAGTGTTGCTCAAAGTATTTTATATTTATTAATTTGTTATTCCTATGAGGTAAATATTGTTTTACCCCCTAATTTTATAGTTGAGGAAAATAAGTCCTAAGACTCATCATCGAGTGGATAATAGAGCCTGTATTCAAAGTTAAACAATCTGTTTCTAAAAGTCATTTGCTTAATTAATCATTATTACTGCTGCCTTGAACCATGAAAATAAGACTATTGAAAATTTGACACACACAGAATTTTAAACTATCCCAACTGGAAATGTAGTTCATGGAAAAAATTAATTTTGGTGTATTTATGGTTTTTCAGCTCAGGGGAAAAAATTGGGTTTGCTTAGGTAAATGACCATTAATCCTATTGTCTGGAATTAATACGTGTTTCTGCTGAACCTAGCTGTCCAAGTCATGTCTAACCCAAACTCTGATTTTTATTTCCCACTGAAGTCTGCCCAAAACAAAACTGACTAGTCAGCCTTGAAATAACAGTTCGGTAAGCAGAGCTAAACTTTTGTCTGGAAGCATAGCTCAACTAAAGAAGTAACATATTGCTATTGTTAAGTAAATTGAATTTGTATAGGTGATTTCAAATACACTAGGCAGATATTTGAAAGGTCCTAATAGTTATTTTCCTTTACTAAAGCAAACAGCCTTTAATTGATCTTTTGGGCAGATTATTTTTCATTTTCTTAGACAAAACTTGTCAATCAGCCTGGCTGGTGTAGCTCAGTGGATTGAGCGCAATGCAGGCTTCGAACCAAAGGGTCACCAGTTCAATTCCTAGTCAGGGCACATGCCTGGGTTACAGGCCAGGTCCTGAATGGGGACGTAAGAGAGGCAAACCACACACTGATGTTTCTTTCCTTCTTCCCTTCTCCTCTCTCTAAAAATAAATAAATAAAATATTTTTTTAAAAACTTGTCAATCATTCTCCTTTTATGAAATGCTAGAGGCTTTATGGTGCCAATTTCTGCATGCTAGGCGCTAGGAATATCTGGGTGACCTTAGAACATTTCTGCCACCAAATAACTTAGTAGTTTAACAAATAAGCACAAAAATATTCACAGGATAACAACATAGAAGGCTGTCTTTTAAGGAGTTGGTTTTTAAGCATACTCATTAAATTTACCTTCCTTTCCTATGATAAAAACTACTTTGCCTTATACTAAGCAGACATCAGGCTAGAGAATCACCAGCATCAACAAAGTGTTAGTAAACTTTCAAACAATAGGTCTGTGTGTGTGGAGTAAGTTTGGTTTTGTATTGTTTTGTTTTTTAAATCAACTTTATATAAGTTTGGCTATACATTTAGATTGCAAACTCCTGTTTCTAATTTTAAGTGTACATTTTATTGTACAAAATATTGTTCTCTGAACTATTGCTATTCTTGGAGTTTATAAATATGTTGAAAAGTTGGTTTGGGTGATCTTTGGTTAGTTAATTAAAAGGTAGTGCTGTTCCACTGTTTCTGCTATGTGTTTATGAAATCATTCGCTCTGCTTTTTCATTAGTTTTACCAGAAAGGGTAGTGAGAACCATTTATTGTGGGCTTTGTAAACTAGAGGCTGTAATGCGGTCTAATATATATTGTCATTCCTTAAAACACTTTAAACATTAACCCTTTTGCAACTGAGTGTACAGAGGTTCTGAAAAGTTAAATAATTTATATAAC